TCCTTCCCCCCCCCATTCCCTCTCTCCTTTCCCAGTGTGAGAAAGGAAGGGGAACCGAGGTTTTTTTTGGTTTTTAGTTTTTTGGGGGTTTTTTTTGTGGTTTTTTTTTTTTTTTTCTTTTCCTCCCTCTGACATACCTGGAAAGTATTGTTTGTGGTTTTTTTCCCCCATCCCACGGGGCGGTGACTAGGGATCCCACAGCACCGCCTGGTGACGGGCACTGGACATTACAAGTTCTGCTCCTCCAGTGATCCAACAGCGCCACCTGGTGACTACAATAGGACACTACAAGTCCTGCACCTCCAGTGACCCAACAGCGCCACTGGGTGAATGGTACAGGACATTACAAATTTTGCATCTCCAGTGACTCTACGGCGCCCCCTGCTGACTGTGGTTGGAACTGCATCAAAGGGTGCAAAAATTGAATTGTTTAATTTTCCTTTTGCCGTTTTATCGGTTTTGTTCTTGAAGGGGATTATTGGTGGGTATAGAAGTATTGCTTGGTTGTTTTACTTGTTTTTTTCCGTGTTCCTATTAATACACACATACCTTTTAATAAAGGGCTGTTATTTTCCCTTTTCCATAATTTGTTTTCCTTCAATTGAAGCCTCTTAATTTTGGATTTATAATTGCTTAGAAAGAGAAGTCTGGGTCTTTTCCTCCTAATCCATCCTCAGCAAAAGACCTTTGTCTCATTTAAACTGGGACACACCCTTATGTTGTCAGTCCAGATCCACCTGGGACTCTCCCCTTTCTGTCTGGGAAGGGGACTGATAGAGCAGCTGGATGGGCACTATTTAGATTCGAATATTCCCTGAGCAAAATTAAAACTCAAAGTTATCTGTTGATACAAAAAAAATGATATTTTTATTTTATTAATTGTAAGAGATGCAAAGAGAGAGTTAAAAATAAGGTTGGAAAAAGCTAAGATTACTTTTAGAAGCATAGGAAAGTTACCACCAAACTATCTTTTAGCTGAGATGGTGGTAGTGGGGGAGCAGTTTCTACCTTTTTTTATTTCTTTCTCTACTACTTTTCGATGTTATCTCTTTAGCTGGGTGTGTGTGTGTGGAATGTCATCTTAGCAGCTTAGTTCTCTGGAATGCAGTCAGGATGTGTGTGGCTTTGCTGCTCACGTTTTAGCTGCGTCCCAGGCTGTGCAGTGTTCCGATCCTCGGTAAGCAGCACCTTTCAGTCCTCAGAAATGTGGTAAGGGTAGGAGGATAAGGTATAACTCACACGTGTGGCACGGTCAGTCTCAGTTCTTCTCCAGGCCAGCAGAGTTTCAGTCTCCGGTGGCAGGCAGGCAGCATGTGGTGGCAGAGAAAAGGCAAGGGGGAGGTGGGAAGAGAGATGCTCAGCTACTGTGACTGGTTCTCTCTTTCCCTTTCCTCTCCCTAGTTTTCCAAAATTTTTCCTCAACTTTTCTAGTGTTTAAAGGAGGTTGTACATGGTTTCTTTGGCATGTAGCCCTGTTCAGATGTTCGAAGATATATGATAACCATAAACAATAGCAGGATCTTTTGGCAGGAAAACTCCAGCAGGAAGCTCTGGTAAGGGCTTCTGGCAGGAGGGCTGACTGAGAAATTTTGGTAGGAAGTTTTGACATGTAGAAACAATAGTGAAATAGTTTTTTTAGCATTTCTATATTATATGGTTGTTACAGGGGCACAGGTTGGTAGGGAGGAAAAAAGATGATCTTCATATTGCCAGAGTCAGGTAGTCACCTGAAGCACTGTTTGTTCTCCTTCTTTCATTGACATCAGTGCTGCCAATGAGTTGGTGTATGACGATGGCACGCTCCATACAAACTTCTGCCACATGTATTGTGTACACTGGATCTCATCTGGATCTACAGGGGACTGCTTGTTATTTGAATCCCTATAGATTACCTCCAGCACAACTAATTCTCTCAGGTACTGGATACCTTTCTCCATGGCGTTTCACCTGCTTGGGTACACTACTAGATCATTCTTGAGAGAATTCCTTTCCCTCAGGCTTGACAAGAGTCACCTCCAAAGGCTGACAGTTTCTGTTCTCTTCTTAATCCCCTTGGCAAAACCCGCATCCTGGGACAGGGATTCTAGTTGCTTGGCTTCACTTCCATCTAGTTTCATATAGGGGGCTTCAATATCCCAGCATTGGAGCATCCAGGTCACCAGGGGCTCACCTGACTGGTGGCAATGATGTGAGGTGTTATAGAATAAGCTCTGTCCCCTCCTGGCTGCTGCAAAAATTAACCCTGCCCTGGCCGGGACCAGGACATTGTGAAATGCATTGGTGACCACTTGAATTTCAGAATTCATGTGCTAGACCAATATGCTGTTACAGATCCCTGCTGTTTGCAGGACTCTAGCAGTTTATATTTGCTCATTGTCCTTCCTCTAATGCTATACATATGATAAAAAGGAAGTCTGCTTTTTTTGCTGTTTTTACTTCCACAGCATATATACAGTTTAATCGAGGCAAATAGGAAATAGGAGGAAAAATGGTGAAAAAGGTGGTTACTGCAACTCATACAGGAAGTCAGTTGCATAACTGTGAAATAAACCTAGACACAGTTCAGTGCATTTTATTCTAAGAAATGGAAACCTGGAAAGAATGTTTTTAAGGGCTTATGTTCAATTTAATAGAATAATATATCTAAGGAGCTGTGATATTTAATAAAAATCTGTCATGGTTTAACCCCAACCAGCAACCAAGCACCATGCAGCCAAACAAGGAATTAATTCACTGCTTCCCATGGGCAGGCAGGTGTTCAGCCATCTCCAGGAGAGCAGGGCCCCATCACGTGTAACAGTTACTTGAGAAGACAAACGCCATCACTCCAAATTTCCCTCCCCCTTCCTCCTTTTTCCCCCCACTTTACAGTTGTAGCATGATGCCATATGGTCCGGAAAATCTCTTGGTCAGTTGGGGTCAGGTGTCCCTGGCTATGTCTCCTCCCAACCTCCCATGCACCCCCAGCCCCCTTGCCAGCGTGGCAGTACAAAAAGCAGAAAAGGCCTTGGCTCTGTGTAAGACCTGCTCAACTACAACTAAAACATCTCTTTATTATCATCACTGTGTTCAGTACAAATCCAAAACAGAGCCCCATACCAGCCACTAGGAAGAAAATTAGCTCTACCCCAGCCAAAACCAGCACAAAAGCATATGAACTTTTTTATGAAGATTGAACTGCAGTAGCTACCCTGCTATAAATCAATGCAGCCCTTGGAATATGAATGTGTTGTTACAGAGATACAAAGGTGTCTTAGATGAGTGAAATTATTCTAGGTCTATCAGCTGCTGCATGAAAAAAGAATTAGTCAGAAATGACTCAATGCCAGAATTGCAGGTAACTGAACTTCAGGAAACATCTATTTACTTAGCCAAAATATAGGTTCTTTTGAGTTTTATTTAAACTGTACTTTAGAAGCCTATTTAAAGCTTTTTAGCAGTGGCAACTGTTTTGCATAGAATTTAACTAAGCATTCAAAATTTAACGTGAGCATTCAGCTGAAATCTAGACAGTGGTGTAAACCCTAACTTTTAGCATTTTAGCATTTTCATATGGAACTCTTCTCATTTAAGGTAGACTTACTGACTGAATTAATTATGTGTACTTTGTATTATTGCCCCTCACCTTACTGTAGTTGAAGTAAGGCATGTAGTCTTATCTTTATTAGTGAAATCCTTATGCTATCTAAAGACACCCCAATTGTTTAAAAATAAATTTTAGAGTTAATTTAGCATGATCTGCATAAGAAGAAAAATTAAGCAAACACAAAGCATATTTGTTTATATATATTTTGTGAAATAACAACTTTTATGACTTAAACATCTGTGGATGGGTTTAGTTGATTGGAGAGTTATGTATGATTTCTGGTCAGACTTAATGCTAGTAAGATGTGTTTTGCCCCCTGTTAAATTATGTCAAAGTGCAAGATGCATAAATTAAGGAAGCTGAAAACTGAAACTAATGTTTTATCAGGAAGGAATATTCTATTTTTAAAATTGTTTATGTGATAATGTGTTCTTTTTTCATAAAGTGTATTCAGAAGGTGCATGCAAAATACTAAGAATTTCTTACATTAATTGTTTGATTGTTTTTATTATAAAATTTTTGGTTCTCAAATTCACATATTTTGAATTTATGTGAATAAATAGGTTTTTTATATTTTTTTTTTTACAAATTTGATAAAACCTAAATATGTAGTGTAATGTGTAGTGTGCCTGTTGTCTCTCTTCCCTTTGATTCCCCCTCCCTTGTTTTTCTCTTTGGAGAAGAAAAAAAAGCCCTCATAATTCATTTAAGCCACTGTGTGAAATTATGATATTTCAAAGTAATTTCATACCATGCTACATGTTGGTAAACTTCAAGTATTTGGATGGGGGTTTCTTGCAACATCTGGTACAGTCTTTTAACCACAGTTCCAATAAAGTGCCCCAGTGAACTGGTGGAAGCAGGCCTGGGGCAGTTGGTGGCTTACTTCTGTTTCTGTATTTACTGTGTTTTAAAAAAGAAAAAGGAAAAAAAAAGGGGAGTGGAACCAAAATTGGGCCTATCTCATGTGAATATCTAATTTGATTTCTGTGCATATGGAATGGACTAAAACTTAGATTTGGGAGTAAAACTCCGTCTTCCCTGTTTGTTTAAAACTACTACTAACAAAGATGGTTATAACAGAGGCAAAAATTTATTTCAGAAAACACTAAATTAGTAGGTTTTGTAAGATGCAAGCTTGTTAAGAATACAGGTATTTTTTTTGTTCTAGGAGAGCCACTCTTGCATTGAGCATTGAATGCTCAACTGGTTTTAAGTTGTTCATCCATTTATATTGTCATTACTTATTTGCCTACTGACTGCTCTGGATTAAGCTCTTGATCTAGTTGTTTTACTGGTGTCTAAAATAAGCTGCAGTGTGCAGTGTCACATGTCCAAGTCTGATACTGCTGGGAAAAGTGAATGCTGTAATATGTAAAGTATCTAAAAGATATCTTTATATGTGTTTTGACAGATTGGCAAAATGAGGTATGTCAGTGTTCGTGACTTTAAGGGAAAAGTCTTAATTGATATTAGAGAATATTGGTTGGATCAAGAAGGTGAAATGAAGCCTGGCAGAAAAGGTATTGTTCAGCTTCATGTTATTTGTATTAAAACATTGTCTGCAGTTTGCTGGAGAACTTTGTGTATCAGATTTCTATACTTTGTTACTACGTGGTATTTTTAAAGTAATGTTTTAACTTTTTAATGATTTATATTTTACCAAATGATTAGGTTTATCTGTAGATAATAAACAAAAGAGAAGTGGTTTCATTGGCCTGAGTCAGTTTTCCTAAATGGTTCCCCCATAATTTATGGAAAACAAGGCATCAAATACAAATAAATTTGGTATGGGAGTTATATACATAGCCATACATTTCCCGTTGATTAACTTAACTCCACTTTTTGCTTTTATTACAATTGGATTTCCTTGTTGGTTTTTGAGTGCTAGAGAGTGGTAATAGTCTCTCCAAAATGTTACTTATAGTTTGTTATTCGCAGTGCTTTAAGAAACAGGAGGGGAAAAAACCCCAGAATTATGGTACTTTAAAAGTGCATAGAAGTTCAGTCCACAGAGGTATTGCTTTTAGGAGCCAACAGGAATACAGTTAACTTCCTTAATTTCTTTTGTACTGCCTTCTATCAAGTCCAGGGCTGTATTTCTGCATTTAGCCCAACACTTGTGAATGAATTTGTTATACTGCACTCGTCTTTGTAAGGAGATAAGCTAAGGTCTAAATTTAAACAGAAGTGTTCCAATGGGTTCTTTCTTTGTAACTGAAGTGGTTGTTGTTATATTACAGTTGTTACACTTGAGGTAGGTTAAGCATTAATAGTCATGACATACACTTTGTGTATGAAACCAACCTTGACAGTAATTATGCAAGATTTTGCACTACAATTTTTTTTTTGTCCTAAGTATTTATTTTTAATGCATTTCAGGTATTTCTTTAAATCCAGAACAGTGGAACCAGCTGAAGGAACAGATTTCGGATATTGATGATGCAGTAAGAAAACTGTAAATACAGAGCTATACAGAAACCTTTTATCATTTTAGTTGTTTTGTCGTATTTCATTGGCATTTGTTTTCTAAAATATTGTTTTCCAAGCTATTGTATATTTGGATTTCAAAATGATTTATAAGATGAATACTTTATGTGCATTAAAAGTTTATTCTGAGTGAGGCTATTTGTGTATACTTTACTAAAAGGAAATGTGTTGCTTTCACCTCATGGTATAAAATAAACAAATCAAATAGTATGTAAATAGTATGTAAAGCATAACCTTTTGGTTAAAGGTACTGGTAAGGTTGCCTAATAGCTTTAATTTTAGTTTTACTTTAGTTAACTGTTAATGTGATTTTTTTTTTCTGAGATTTCTTAAAATGTCTCAATTTTAATTTTTTTTTATTTTATTTCATACGCTTGCCCTGACAGCTTTCAGCTTTAAGACTTGATACAAACAGTGAATACCTGGTAAACCACATTTTTGTAGGTAATTTTAAAACTCTATTTGCTAATTTACTGTATTTATTCAGGTGCAAGCGGTCCTGAGCATATAGACATTTTTTGCATTACTTGTATGAAGTGTTATGCTATACAATAACACTTGAAATCAAGCCACACACTATTTCTTCCCATTTTTCTATAGCTTGCTTGACTTAGAAAATACAATTAGGCTTTATTCTTAGACCCTAGATTTTGAATGTGATGCATAAACTTTTAGAGTAATAGACATACTTCAAAGTAAGATAGTTTTTAAAAGCTCCAATTGTGGTTATTGTTTAGGTACCCTTTCCGAACTTTGCAATTAATTAATATTCTTGAATACATACTGACTATTTAGTCTATAGAAAAGAACAGTTAAGCTGTCTTTGTAGGGTTTTTGTTCATTTGGTAGTATTGTGTAAAGAATGATGCTTAAACTAGGCTATAACACAGATTAAACAGTCAAAGGGAGTTAAAATTACTTCAGCCGAGACATCTGGCTGTCATGTTCCTACCCTGTCCATGCTACCCACCCAAACCATTTAACTTGACTTGCCTTGTGTGGCTTACATGTGCACAACTGTTTTATATTTTGTACAGAAGGTACTCAGTGCTTACAATGAAACACTGGTGCATAGTGGATCATGACTCTAGTGCACTTTGCTTGTCTACCAGGGATGGGGCATCTACCACCTTTCTGGGCAACCTGTTCTAGTGTCTTACCACCCTAATCATAAAAAAACTCTTCCTTATAGCTCACCTGAATGTACCCTCTTTTAGTTTAAAACCATTACCCCTTGTCCTATTGTAACATGCCCTCCTAAAAAGTTTGTCCCCATCTTTCTTATAGGCTTCCTTTACTGAAAGGCTGCAATAATGTCTCCCTGGAGCCTTCTCTTCTCCAGGCTGAACAACCCCAACTCTCAGCCTTTCCTCATAAGAGAGGTGTTCCATCCCTCTAATCATCTTTGTGGCCCTCCTTTAGACCTGTATATTTGGCTTTGAAACATCTTCATGAAAATTGACATTTCAAGACTATGTAGTGAATATACAACTTATTGGTTCAACTGTAATTTTCCAATTTGATGTTAAATTTAATGTATTTAAAAACCATTGTGTATACATAAATGGGATTGACTATTTGTTTATTTTGGCATGTTTTAATATAATTGTTTATATTGCAAACATGCATGGAAGTCCTATTCTCCTAAGTGCCATACACAGACTGTTCCTGTGCTGCAGAGTTTATAATTCAGTACAAATGGGTATTGAAGGGTGAGGAAAGGTGAAATCAAATATATATTATTTAATTTAACCATTATGTCAGATACCTCCACCCACTTTTTAACTTATCCATTGCTGACATATTTCAAATATTTCAAATAAAGTTAAACTATGTTTTTGTATAGCTCAGGAAATCTGAGTTTTTAAAAACTGCTTGAGGGTGAATAAAAAGGATGAAGAGATGTTTTGTGGTAGTAACCGTGTTTTTTGGGCACAACATTCTTTTGTGTGTGACTCTTAATGGCATGTCGGAGTATTTGGACCAAATAGAATAAATATGAAATAACCACTAAAATTTTCAGATGAGTGAATGAAAGAAATTGCTTCCGATCACTGTCAACAGATTCTAGATGTAGTTTTTGTGATATGTATGTATGCTTTTTATTTCCCTTTAAAACTGAAATTTTGCAACCAGATCTCACCCATTTTTACCTCAAAACTTTCATGTGGCTACTTTAAAGTGCATGATTATCATAATACAGGGAACGTTGTCCTCACTTAGACTACTGTAGTAGTAGGTCATTGGATGACAGTTGTGTACGACGTAATTGTGTTCAGGAAGGTGGAGAATTAAATTCAAGACAGAGTCACAGAGTATTCTGAGTTGGAAGGGATCCACAAGGATCATTGGGTCCAACTCTTAAGTGGCCTCTACGGGGATCAAACACATGACCTTGGGGTTATTATTAGCACCATGCTCTAACCAACTGAGCTAATCTCAGTTTAATTTTGGGGGAGTAAGTGAAAAAATTTTCATAATAATGATTGGTTCTCTTGTGGAAACCAATGGTAGAGATGTTCAAAGAAATTAGTATTTGTTAATCAAGAACTATTAGTTCCTCTTATAGATAATACCCTTGCTGAATTTGTGATTATAATTACTTGAGAAAACTTGGCACAGTTTGATTTTACTTAGCTTGTGTGCTTAAAAATAGTTTTCCATCTGCCAGTTATATTTCTACCTCTAATAATAATAAAATATTATATATTTTACCTAAGCATCTTAATGTCTGCATGATTCTCCTACAAAAAAAGGTAACTAATAAATTAGTCAGTTTCACAAATGAACTCAAAATGGGATTTGTTTAATTGCGAGGGAATTCATTGCACTTCAGATGACTGACATGGTGGTTACTTGATAAAAATTTGACACATTCAGTGTTACTTTGAAATAAATAATAATAATAATAATGGCCAGTCTTCGCGAGCGAAGATCCAGGGAAGGTCTTTACACCTTCCAGCCTGCGCATTGGATTTTTTAGGTGAGACACAGTGTGCGTGGAACTGAGCCCACCCTTTAATCCTAAGGTTCATCTGCCAGGGCCAAGCGAGCTTGGACGGTGGCAGCAAGGTCCTCAGGACGTAGATGGATTGCCTTTACAGGGCTAACGAGCTCCATCTGCCCGGGGAGTGTCCCTGACCGGGAATCAAACCCGGGCCTCGGCGGTGACAGCGCCGCGCCCTTACCACTAGATCACCAGGGGCTCCTTTGAAATAAATAGTTGGTAGTGATTTGTCATGTAATTGTTTATGGCTGTAGTCTTTCTAATTTGAGAAGAATATTTAGATTTTTTTTTTTTAATTAAGATTTTTTTTTTTTAGACAAAATGGTAGATAGGGTAGAAATGTCCATGGAAGGAAATTATGCATATGTGAGAAGACTGTGCAATATGAGATAAAAACACTGCTCCCTTTCCCATTGAAGTAGCAAAAGAAAAATGCATTTGATTTTTGATATCTATGCTGGACATATTAGCAATGTGTTTTATAAATTAAATCTGATATGGAGCTTAGGAGGAATAATCGATCAGAGCTGCCAAAGTACCATATGTGTGCTAAATCAAACTGTCATGTACAAAGTTGCTCTTACGTATAGGTGTTCATATTGAAGTTAAACAAATGCAGTACTAAGTTTGATATTTCTGTTAAAGGAAATGTTCCAGTTATGTACTAGTTATGTGATCTTTTAGCAAGAAATTGATTGTAATTCTGAGAACTCAAATGTCATTTTGTTAACCATGCGGTATGTTTCATGTTTTGTTTTGGTGGTATCTACTGCAGAGAGGCCACTGGAAATATGCACCCTCCAACTCATAATTATCTTAATGTTCAAATAAAAAATCGTTAAATGTCATATGTGTAATAATAGTTTGAACACTTGGAAATAAATGAAGACTTGTGTTGACATAGTGTTATTTTTAACAGAAATTTAGCTGCACTGCAACTTATTTTTTTCTTAATAGCTGTTTTCATAACAAATTTTTTTCTTGCAACTGTTGTAGTTTGGAAATTTGAAAACTTCATCATCTAATAGTTGGTCCATGTTTGTGGGTGGGTGGTTGCTTGTGTCAGCCCAGAGGGACACGAGGTTTTCATTATGATAGGAGTACAAATGTCATGTGAAGATGGAAGCAGCAGATATAAACACACTTCCCTGCAGAGGGACCTGGACAGACTGGAGAGTTGGGTTGATTCCAACAGGATGAGGTTCAACAAGGCCAAGTGCTGGGTCCTGCACTTTGGCCACAACAACCCCCTACAGTGCTACAGGCTGGGAACAGAGTGGCTGGAGAGCAGCCAGGCAGAAAGGGAGTTTGGATTGACAGGAAGCTGAAGATGAACCAGCAATGTGCCCAGGTGGCCAAGAAGGCCAATGGCATCCTGACCTGTATCAGGAACGGTGTGGCCAGCAGGAGCAGGGCAGTGATCCTTCCCCTGTACTCAGTGCTGGTGAGGCCACACCTGGAGTAGTGTCCAGTTCTGGGCCCTTCAGTTCAGGAAGGATATTGAGGTGCTGGAGCAGGTCCAGAGAAGAGCAACAAGACTGGTGAAGGGACTTGAACACAAGTCCTATGAGGAGAGGCTGAGGGAGCTGGGGTTGTTTAGCCTGGAGAAGAGGAGGTTCAGGGGAGACCTCATCACTCTACAACTACCTGAAAGGAGGTTGTAGCCAAGTGGGGGTTGGTCTCTTTTCCCAGGCAGCTATCAGTAAGACAAGAGGGCATGGTCTCAAGCTCTGCCAGGGGAGGTTTAGGTTAGATATTTGGGAGAAATTCTTTACAGAGAAGGTAATCAGGCATTGGAATGGCCTGCCCAGGGAGGTGGTGGGTTCTTCATGCCTGGAGGTATTTAAGAAGAGACTGAATGTGGCATTAGTGCCATAGTCTAGTAACTGTGGTGGTAGTGGATCAAGGGTTGGACTTGATGATCTCAGAGGTCCTTTCCAACCCATCTGATTCTGTGATTCTGTTTTATCATTCAAACACCAAACAGAAGGAAGTGCCTGATAAATTGCTCTTGTTAAGAAAATGACTGATTAGCTTTTGAGTGGAGTTTCTTTTTGGCCTGACAATAAATATAACCATAGATTATATAGATTGCTGGATGAGAAGCTGTTTTCTATCATTGGTCATAGTTATATAAGTGTAGGCTTCTTTAGGAAGGATATTTGTTTTTCACATGCTTGCTGTGACTGATCTGTAGGGAGTGGATTAACTGATTGTAACCTTAAATGAAACAGATTTTTCTTCAAGTAATTGAGCACAGAATCAGAAATGACCTTGACTCAAATGGAAGAAATGCAGTTTGGGGTTGATGGAGAGTCATCATGTCCTACCTATTTTCCATTTACTGCCATTCACTTATTGGTAGGATTCATCTTTGACTAGCTCTGGTGACTACATATGGAAGAGCAATCTGATAGGCAATGTTTTTCATGTTGTAAATCAAGCTTATTTTCCCCTGCTCTCAACTTCACATTGTTATGTGAAAATGTGAAGACCACTAAAGAAGTGAAATGTTTCTTGGCTCACTGATGATTTATCATGGAAGCTTAAACTGTGCTGTCTTGTGAGCAGAGGAACATTAGTCATGGGGATAACTTAAAAGCTGAGAACTTGGTGACACAGCTGTTCCCCTGGTACAGGAAGGACATTGATCAGTTGAAGTGAGTCCAGAGGAGGGCCATGAAGATGATTAGAGGAATGGAACACCTCTCCATTGAGGAAAGTCTAAGAGTTGGGGTTGTTCAGCCTGAAGAAGAGAGGGATCTGGGAGACATTATTGCAGCCTTTCAGTACCTGAAGTGAACCTATGAGAGCTGGAGAGGAACCGTTTACAACGGCATGTAGTGATAGGACAAGGGGGAATGGCTTTGAACTGAAAGAGGACAGGTTTAGATATTAGGAATAAATTCTTTTCTGTGAGGTGTGGTGGAGCCCAGCTGGTTCTGGGCTCTCTGTAAACTGAGATACTGAAGATGGAACTTCTTACACCTGGCAGAGGGTTAACCACGGACAGTGGGGACTGTAACACAGAGTGGGTTTCCTGTGAGGAATGTCAGCCTATTGTGTTAGGACATGTGGCTGTATGTCCAATCATAAGTTGTTATGATAGTGGTAAACCAATGCTGTGTGTACATGTGTCACCCAGAACTGTATAAAGGTAGCTGTACTGTTGCAATAAAAAAGCTGGTATCCTGAAACCCATGTTGTCTCCTGCCTCGACCACAACATATGGTGAACTCCCAACGTGATTGCGAAGGAAGAAGAGAACTCCACAAGACGACAAGAAGCGAACGAAGAATCCCTCGGGTGGGACCTCGAGAAACTGCTACCTGGAGGGACCAGACGACCGCTGCCCCCCCCCCCGATTCGTTTTCACCGCTTCTCAGCCCGAGAGATCGTATGCCGCTGAGCTGCCTATCGCTACTACTGAGATTCTTTCGCTGCTGCTGAGACTTTTTTGCCGCTACGTAAGTCACTGAACACTCTCTTATCAACCCTCCTGCTGCGCAGCTCCACTCTACCTCGGAGCGTTCGTCATCTCGCTCCGCTCCCAGCCTTCCTGCAGGGCTGCCCTGCTCTCCCCCCTGGAGTGTTTGTTATCTCGCTCCGCGTTTCAGCTGCAGCCCTACAGAAACTGCGTGGCTGTGTACGCAATCAGCGTGCTACTGTACGTAAACTGTGCAGCCCTCGCTCCTGACATCTCGGCTCAGCGCAGCGCCCCAGCCCGCTCCGAGCCCGGTTCGCATCCCTCTGCTATCACCAGACGTCCCTGACTGTGTGTGGAGCAGCTGAGACCACACCCCAAACGTGCCCTGACTCAACAGTGCTGTTTGTCCCGAGTGGCCCCTGCTTCATTACTCCCGCAGCCTTCGGGCAGGCAAACTGCTGCTTGCCCCCCTCCTCCGCTCGGCTTGGCATGTTGCGAATTCTTCATATCCTGGCAACCGGCGTTTATCAGCTCTCGGCTGCTGGAAGGCAGCATTCCAGCTACTGTTCGGCTTCACTTTTTTGTTACTTTGCTTGCAACTTACATTAATACCTCCTGAAGCAATCTAGAAAGTTTTCACGTCCTGAACAAGGACGGAGAGAGACAGCTCCGAGAGAACTGTTGGAGGCGGGAACTCCAGTGTAGATTTTAAAAGTGACAAGAAAGTCGCAGGGGGCCAGCCCAGATATTTTGGAGACACCTGTCTAGAACAGGTGAACCACCGGAGTATAATAGGTTCCATGTTATCTAGTGAGGATGACTCTGTCGTCCAGAGTGGCAGTTACTGCTAAAGAGAAACATGGAATCAAGCTAGATGCCCTGCTCCTGCAAAAATGCTAATTTGGAGCAGAGATCACGGGTACTAGGACTTCTAAAGTTGCTTTCAGGGGAGTCATGGAATTATTAACTTCCTGACACCTGCTTTTTGAAGCACTGAAAGACTTTAAAAAGTCGAAAACTACCACTTATAATAAAAAAAAAAATAGAAAAAATAAAAAAAGAAAAAAATTAGAAAAAATAAAAAAAATGGAAAAAAAAAAGGGGGGGGGAGGATAGTCTGTTCAACTAGCTTTTGAGGAGCAATATTCTTATCCTCCAACAGTCTGCTTTCTACCTGCCTGTGGCACACACACAAGCTACATGGACAACTCATTTATGGACATTCAACACTGAGAAGAAGGAATACCATTCTTGTGGACTGATGAAAGAAGAACTGGTTGATTGCCTATGTGTGCGGTTGTATTGTGTTATTGATATTGCCACGTCGCTAGTGCAAGGGCCCTGTATTAGCTGATGCTGGCATTTTCTATAATACAAAAGAGGGGGAATTGTGGTGGAGTCCAGCTGGTTCTGGGCTCTCAGTAAGCTGAGATACTGCAGATGGAACTTCTTACACCTGGCAGAGGGTTAACCACGGACAGTGGGGACTGTAACACAGAGTGGGTTTCCTGTTAGGAATGTCAGCCTATTGTGTTAGGACATGTGGCTGCATGTCCAATCATAAGTTGTTATGATAGTGGTAAACCAATGCTGTGTGTACATGTGTCACCCAGAACTGTATAAAGGTAGCTGTACTGTTGCAATAAAAAAGCTGGTATCCTGAAACCCATGTTGTCTCCTGCCTCGACCGCGACAGTGAGGGTGGTGAGGCACTGAAACAGGTCTCCTCAGTGGGCTGCAAGTGGATATCTGCTCCCCCGTGAATCTCCATGGGCTGCAGGGGGGACAACCTGCCTCACTGTGGTCTTCACCACAGCCTAAAGGGGAATCTCAACTCCAGCACCTGAAGCACCTCCTCCCCCACTCCTTCACTGACCTTGGTGTCTGCAAAATTGTTTAACATATTCCCACTTTTCTTCTCTGGCTGCAATTGCTTCTGCACAATAACTTTTTTTTCTCCTTCCTAAATATGTTTTCACAGATGTGTTACTACCATCACTGATTGGCTCAGCCTTGGCCAGCAGCAGGTCCATCTTGGAGCTGCCTGGCATTGGCTCTGTCAGACACAGGGGAAGCTTCTAGCAGCTTCTCACAGAAGCCACAACTGTATCCCCCCCACCAGAACCTTGCTGCACAAACCAAATACAATTCTTAAGGTGTGAAACAGCTCTTTACATAGCTATTTTCTATGCAACACAAGAGGGTAATGTAAAAATCTTATTATTTCTTTACTTCAGCAATTTTCACCTCATTAACTTCTGCCCATGTGAACTGATATCCCACAGTAGTCTACTAGGCATTGCCATCCAAGAAGGTATAAAGTATTTTTCTTATTTAATCTTATCAAATACGTCTAGATTATCAAGAACATAGTCTGCATTGCACCAACCTTTGCAGTTTTACAGCAAACTCTATTCATCTTTAGGTGTATGGAGAACCCACCTCCTTCCAAAGGACAATAATGCTTTTAAA